AAACATGAAAAAATGCTCATAATCACTGGTCATCAGAGAAATGCAAATCAAAACTACATTGAGATATCATTTCATGCCAGTTAGAATGGTGATCATTAAAAAATCTGGAGATAACAGATGCTGGAGAGGATGTGGAGAAATAGGAACTCTTTTACACTGTTGGTGGGAGTGTCAATTAGTTCAACCATTGTGGAAGTCAGTATAGTGATGCCTCAAGTATCTAGAAATAGAAATTCCATTTGACCTAGCAATCTCATTACTGGGTATATACCCAAAGGATATAAATCATTCTATTATAAAGACACATGCACACGTATGTTCATTGTGGCATTGTTTACAATAGCAAAGACCTGGAACCAACCCAAATGCTCGTCAATGATAGACTGGACAAGGAAAATGTGGCACATATGCACCATGGAATACTATGCAGCCATAAAAAATGATGAGTTTGTGTCCTTTGTAGGGACATAAAAGAATCTGGAAACCATCATTCTCAGCAAACTGACACAAGAACAGAAAACCAAACACTGCATGTTCTCACTCGTAGGCAGGTGTTGAACAATGAGAACACATGGACACAGGGAGGGGAGCATCACACACTGGGGTCTGTTGTGAGGGGCTAGGGGAGAGATGGGGGTGGGGAGGTTGGGAGGGGTAACATGGGGAGAAATGCAAGATACAGGTGATGGGCGGATGGAGACAGCAAACCACCTTGCCATGTACGTAACAATCTTGCATGATCTGCACATGTACCCCAGAACCTAAAGTACAATTAAAAAAAAGAAATTCTAAAAGAAGTTCTAAACCTTGAAACACACCAAAATAGAACCTCTTGAAAGCTTAAAACTCACAAGGTCTATGAAATAATAACACAATTAAAACAAATCTAGGTAATAATTGACATAATAAAGAAAACAGTGCCTCATATCTCAATATTAACATTGAATGTAAATGGTCTAAACCCTCCTCTTAAAAGATACATATGGCAGAACAGATAATAAATCACGATCCAAATATCTACTGTCTTCAAGAGACTCACCTAACACCAAATGTTCTATACAAATTCAAGGTAAAAGGGTGGAAAAAGGTACTCCATGCAAATGGAAACCAAAAGTGAGCAGGAGTAGCTATTCTTATATGAGACAAAACAGACTTCAAAGCAGTGACAGTTAAATTTAAAAAAAAAGACAAAGATGATCACTATAAAATGATAAAAGGATTAATTCAACAAGAAAATAATAGCATCTTAAAGTTATATGCACCAAATCCTGGAGCTCCTAGATTCATAAAACAGTTACTACTAGACCTCAGAGGAGAGACCCCCTTACCTCCTATTTTACCTCCTCCCTCCCCGACTTCCAGATGGGAAGAAGGGTGAAGAAGGGATAAATAAAATAAAATGCCAAAGAGCTGGGAAAATGACTCCCTTTTTAGTTCCCAGCATCTCTGCTATCTGTTAACCTTGAAAGAGTTGCGAATGAATGTTATTCCTGCTGGCTGGAGCCCGGCACTGGGTCATACCCCCACATCTGCGTGGACCAGCCTCCCTACTGGAATCACCTCTACCAACAAACAGCTTGTTGCTTTTGTCTTATCTCTGTAAGCCCCCTCCCCTGCCGGTCCCCACTCATGCTGCATATGAAATAGCAATCAATAAAGCCAAAAGATTTTAAGGTCAGATGTCCAGCAAATGGACAATGACATAGTTCCACTTCAGTTTCCCCTTTATGGTTGTAAGCCTATAAAAAGGGAGAGAAGCTGCAACTCGAGGAGCTCGGTAAATGAGGCTGTAGACCCCGAAGCTCCCGGCCAAATAAAAAGCCACTTCCTTTCTCAGTTCAGTGTTCTAGAGGTTTGTTCCCCACCGCTCCTGCTTCATTTTTGGTTCCCTGACTGGGAAACAAGTTTTGGTTGGCAGACAGCCAGGACAGCCTTCCAGGCAGCTTTGCCCTGCCCTGCAGAGCATCCCCATGGAGACTCCAGCCCACTTGGGCAATGGGATGCTGAGAGGGCTCCCAGGTAGGCATTGGACCCGGTGGACCCTTCTCCCACAGCACAGCCAGGCAGACTCATGGGGATCTGGCACAGAGGCTGAATCCCAAGAAGAAACTTGTGTGCTCTGAGTCTGGACATCAGAAACTTGGTAGGATTAATTCTGAGAAGCTTCACTGGCCCACCCCACTGGGTGGAAGTGTGGCCTGATTACCCACTGTGTGCCAAGGTAGGCACTTGGTTTTGGTTCTTTTCTTGTGTGTGTGTGTCCTGAGAGCCAGCAAAGAGTGGGATAGGGCCTACTGAGCTGGCAACCGACATAGTGCAGTGGGGAATAGCTTACCTGCTGCCAGGGCAGTCGTGATAGAGCACGCTGAGTCAGCACCCTGGTTCTGGTTTTGTTCCTGTGTGTGTGCCAAAGTAGGCACCTTGGTTTTGGTTCTGTTCTTGTGTGTGTGTATCAATCTCGGAACTTTGGTTTTAATTTTGTGACTCTGTAAGCCAGTCTTGGCGTCTTAAACTTGTTTCTGTTTCTAACTTGGCTAGAGGGAGATGGGTAAAATGCAGAGTAAACCCACTCCATTGAAAACTATGCTAAAGAATTTCAAGAAGGGATTTAGTGGAGATTATGATGCCACCATGACGCCAAAAAAACTTAAAACTCATGTGAAGTAGCCTTGCCAGCATTAGAGGCATATTGGCACACAGAAGGGAGCCTGGACAGGTCCCTTGTCTCCAAAGTGTGGCACAAGTTTGCAGGAAATTCATGACACCTTAACCAATTTCTGTACATAGATACTTCGTTACATTTAGTTTTAAACCTCCCACAGTGGTTAAGAGGCCAAGCAGCAGCAGTGTTAGTAGCAAAGGGACAGGCAGTTAGGAAAAAAATCTTACTCCACCTGCCAGGGGACACAGGCTTCTAAGATCTTGGCTGACTCGGCACCAGAGGACCTTCTTCCAAGAACACCCCTTCCTTACCAGGAAGAGAGGCTCCCCTCTCCAAAGCCAGAGATCTCAATGCCTCCACAGGGTCTGAACCCTCCTAGAGAGCCCAGAGTAAATAAAAAAATAAATAAATAAATTGCAGCATCAGGAGGCACTCCTCCCATAGCAGCCCTCTTCTCAGGGGCATCCCCTCCCCTGGGGGCTCATTTGCAGCCCAAGGCTGGAATGCAAATGCCCCTGATAGAGCAGCAGTATACAAGAGTAAATGAGGATGAATATATGGTGGAAAGGCATGTCTTCACATACGTACCGTTCACTTCGTCTGACCTCATCAACTGGAAGAATAACAACCCATCTTACACTGACAGACCACAAGCTTTAATTGACCTGATTCAAACTGTCATCCTAACTCATAACCCTACTGGGGCTAATTGTCACCAGCTACTCATGTATCTTTTTAACACTGATGAGAGGTGAAGAGTGCTCCAAGCAACATCTAAATGGCTGGAAGAGCATGTTCCAGCTAATTACCAAAATCACCAGGAATATGTAAGAACCCAGTTACCAGGAATCAACCCTCAGTGGGACCCAAATACCCCTGAGGGCATGCAAAGGCTAACTCAATACAGAGAGGCCTTACTGGAGGGAGTAAGAAAAGGAGCGGAAAAAGTCACAAATATATGTAAAGTATCTCAACTTAAGCAGGGGTAAAATAAGAGTCCAGCCCAGTTTTATAAAAAACTTTGTAAGGCCCCCACATGTATACTCCTTTTAACCCTGAGAACCCCGAGAATCAGCACGTAGTAAACTTAACTTTGGTAAAAATGCAAATAATATCAGAAAAAAGTTACAAAAACAGAATGGGTTCGCAGCCATGAGCACTGCACAGTTTTTGGAAATAGCCCATCAGGTATTTATAAATAGAAATGCAGTAAGCTACCGAGAGAATAAGCGAAAGAACCAGTGAAACATTGATTTGCTGGCCACGGCTATCAGAGGAACCACCTTAAAGGGGCAGGGCAAGGGGGGCCCTGGAAAAAACACCCAGTTAAATCAACCATGTCTACAGCGCAACCACTGTGCCCATTGTAAAGAAATGGGGCACTGGAAAAATGAGTGTCCTCATTTTTTTGGCAGGGGAACAGGGTAACTCCAAGCAAGAAGCCTCAGGAAAGGTGAGACTACCCTGTTTGGCTTGGCGGGGGGGGGCCAATGGACTAAAGGGGACCGGGCTTGGATGCCCCCAAAAAGCCCATGGTCAGGATGGACGGGGAGCAAGGACGTTGATTTCTTAATTGATACTGGAGCAGAGCACTCGGTGGTGACCCAACCCATAGCCCCTTTGTCCAGCAAGACAATAAATATAATTGGGGCAACTGGAGTTTCAGAAAAACAGGCTTTTTGCCTGCTACTTACCTGCTCAATGGGAGGCCGAGATTATACAACAGTTCTTGTGCAAGCCGGATTGCCCTCTACCCCTCTTGGGAAGAGACTTGCTGAGCAAACTAAAAGCTACTATCACTTTTACTGATAAGGGCTCTCTGCAGCTCAAACTGCCTCAGGCAGGAATAATTATGGCTCTCACAGTCCCGAGGGAGGAGGAGTGAAGACTCTTCCTGACAGAGCCAGGAGGAGAATTAACCCCTGCACTGACCAAGTGATGGCCACAGGTCTGGGCAGAAGACAACCCCCCAGGTTTGGCAGTAAACCATGCCCTGGTGGTTATCAAAGTAAAGTTGGGGGCACTACCAATTAGACAGAAGCAGTACTCAGTACCAAGAGAAGTTCTTTGAGGGCATCCAGGTTCATCTCAGACACCTGAAAGCTTATGGTATTATGGGTCCCTGCCAGTCTCCTTGGAACACACCTCTCCTACCTGTCCCCAAGCTGGGGACCAAGAACTTTAGATTGGTGCAGGATCTGTGCTTGGTCAACCAGGCATCTGTGACCTTGCACCCCACAATGCCCAATCCCTATACGTTGCTAGGACTATTGCCAGCTGAGGCCAGCTGGTTCACTTGCTTAGACTTAAAGGATGCTTTCTTCAGTATCTGGTTAGCTCCTGAGAGCAAGAAACTGTTTGCCTTCCAGCGGGAAGATCCAGAGTCAGACGTAACAACACAGTACACCTGGACTTGACTTCCACAGGGATTCAAAAACTCCCCAACCATCTTTGGAGAGGCATTGGCCCAGGACCTCCAGAGGTTCCCCACCAAGGAGCTGGGTTGTGTGCTGCTTCAGCATGTGGATGACATTTTGCTGGAACACACAGTACCAACCAGATATGCCCAGGGAACTGACTTGCTGCTCAGACACCTGGAGACCTGTGGATACAAGACCTCCAAAAAGGAAGGCCCAAATTTGCCAACAGCAGGTGTGCTATCTGGGATTTACCATCCAGCAGGGGCAGCAAAGCCTGGGAATAGAAAGAAAGCAGGTTATCAGTAACCTGCCGGTGCCTAAGAATCAAAGGCAGGTACGAGAATTCTTGGGAGCTGTGGGATTCTGCAGACTGTGAATTCCTAACTTTGCAGTTCTGGCTAAACCCCTGTATGAAGCCACAAAGGTGGCAGGGATGGAGAGCCATTTGAGTGGAGCTCAGAGCAGCAGGGGGCCTCCTTGCAGTTAAAAGCAAAACTGGTGTCTGCCCTGGTTCTGGGACTGCCGGACTTGACAAAACCCTTTATGCTATATGTATCTGTATATAAATGGTAGTGGGGGTCCTGACCCAGACTGTGGGCCCATAGCCTTTACCAGTGGCATACTTGTCCAAACAACTGGATGGAGTTTCCAAGGGATGGCCCCCATGTCTAGGAGCCTTAGCAGCCACTGCCTTAGTGGCACAAGAGGCTGACAACTTTGGGACAGAATTTAAAGATAAAAGCCTCCAAACCGTGGTCACCTTAATGAACACAAAGTGCCATCACTGGCTCACCAATGCCCGCTTGCCTAAGTATCAGAGCCTACTGTGCGAGAATCCACACACAACCATAGAAGTTTGTAACGCCCAAAATCTGGCCGCCTTACTCCCAGTGTCTGAGGACCCAGTAACACATAACTGCCTAGAGGTACTGAACTGAGTTTACTCCAGTCAGCTGGACCTGCAGGACCAGCCATGGTCTCAGGCTGACTGGGAACTGTATGTGGATGGAATCAGTTTTGTCAGCCCTCTAGGGGAAAGGTGTGCTGGGTATGCAGTGGTGACTCTGGACTCAACTCTAGAGGCCAAGCTATTACCTTAAGGCACCTCAGCACAGACAGCAGAGTTAATAGCCTTAACTAGTGCCTTGGAATTAAGTGAAAAAAAAACTGCTAACATTTTCACTGACTCACAGTATGCATTCCTCACTCTCCAAGTACAAGGAGAAGTTCCTACTTAACTCTGGGGGCAAAGAAAATACCAACAGGAAATTTTGCAGCTACTGGAAGCAGTATGGAAGCCCCAAAAAGTAGCAGTCGTGCACTGCAGGAGACAGCAGCAAACCTCCACCACAGTAGCACAGGGAGATGCCCGTGCTGATGCGGAAGCCTAGAGGGCCACATCCATCCCATATCGGGCATCAGTTGTGGTTCCCCTACTGCCCCAGGTCCCAGACTTGGTGCCAGTTTACTCAGAGGGAGAAAAAAAATCTCCTCCAAGCTGAAGGCGGAAAGGAAATAAAGGGAGGATGGATACGCCTGCCAGATGGAAGGGTAGCAGTGCCGCAGCTGTTAGGACCTGCAGTGGTCTTAGCTGCCCATGAAACCTCCCACCTTGGTCAAGAAACCCTTGAAAAATTGTTAGGCTGGTATTTTCACATCTCTCATTCATCTGCAATAGCAAAAACAGTGACACAATGGTGTGTAACATGCAGACAGCACAATGCCAGACAAGGACCTACGGTCCCACCAGGAATCCAGGCTTATGAAAATAGTCCTTTTGAAAAGCTGCAAACAGATTTCATTTAGATGCCTAAGTGCAGAGGTAACTGACATCTGCTGGTTCTGGTATGTCCTTACTCTGGGTGGGTAAAAGCGTACCCAACACAGACTGAGAAGGCCCATGAAATGACTTGTGCTCTTTTAAGAGACATCATCCCTAGATTTGGACTGCCTTTGCGAGTTGGTTCAGACAATGGGCCTGCATTTTAACTGACCGGTGCAGAGTACAGCTAGAATGCTAGGAATAAACTGGATACTACATGCTGCCTACCAGCCTCAGAGTTCAGGCAAAGTGGAGCGAATAAACAGAACTATAAAGAATAGCTTAGGGAAGTGTGCCAGGAGATGAGGTTAAAGTAGGTATAGGTCCTTCCTGTGGTTTTGTTTAAGATTAGCTGTATTCCTTCTTAAAAAACCGGATATTCCCCTTATGAGACCCTGTATCATAGGCCTCCTCCCACTCTCTGGGGACTCCCAGGGACTTCCTGTGAATTAGGGGAAACCGAATTATGTCAGCAATTACAGGCTTTGGGAAATGTGGCAGAGAAGGTGTCTGAATGGGTTAATGAAAGATGGCCTGTCATCTTATTCTCCCCAGTTCACCCTCTCTCACCAGGTGACTGAGTTTCGATCAAGGACTAGAACGTGGGCTCCCTATGACCGAGGTGGAAAGGACCCCAAACTGTCATTCTGACAACTCCAACTGCCGTGAAGGTCAAAGGAGTTCCTGCAGCATCAGACACCTGGGAAGCGAAGACAGATCTCGATAACCCATGTAAGATCACCTTAAGGAGAACCGAGACAACAAGCCCTACTCCAGTCACACCCCGGAAGCTGACTGGTCTACGAATGGCCAAAGCATGAGGACTGCCTCCATGGGACAGGTACTCCTTCTCTTTGGACTATGGACTTGTGTCTTTGCTACCCCAGTAGATGTAAATCCCCCATCCAAGGATTGTTCCCAGTGCATACATAAGGTTACTATGGTAGGACAAAAGGTTACCACAGTTCTCTTGTTCTACAGTTATTATGAATGCACCAGAACCCTCAAAGGAACTTGTTTATATAATGCTACCCAGGACCTCATAATTGAAAATATTGTAAGGGACATGACAAAACTGATGCATGTACCCGTACAGGTCCGGCATGGGTTCAACCCTGAATCAGTGTTTGGGAATTTGTTTCCTGCTATAGGAGGGCTCAAGACCATTATCATAAGTGTGTCACTCATGATAGGAGCATGAATATTGCTCCCCTGCTTAATGCCTTTACTCCTTCAAGTGATAAAAGGATTTATTACTGCCATGGTTCAAGAAAAAACATCAGTGCAGACCTATTGCATGAACCACCACCACCAATCTGTCTCACCAGAAAATGCCAACAGTGAGGCTGAAGGTAAGAGTGAGAATTCTCACAAAAAAAAAAAAAAAAAAAAAAAAAAAAAAAAAAAAAAAAAAAAAAAAAAAAAAAAAAAAAAAAAAAAAAAAAAAAAAAAAAAAAGAGGTAAGTGAGATTCTCAAACGGGGGTAAGAGGGAAGACCCCTTTGCCTCCTTCTATTTTATCTCCTCCCTCCCCAGCTTCCAGATGGGTGAAGAAGAGAAAAAATAAAATAAAATAAAGTAGCAAAGAGCTGGGAAAATGACTCCCTTTCCAGTTCCCAGCGTCTCTGCTATCTGTTAACCTTGAAAGAGTTGCAAATGAATGTTATCCCTGCCGGCTGGAGCCTGGCACTGGGTCACGTCCCCACATCTCCAAAGTCCAGGCTCCCTCCTGGAAACACCTCTGCCAACAAACAGCTTGTTGCTTTTGTCTTGTCTCTGCAAGCCCCCTCCGCTGCTGGTCCCTGCTCACGCTGCATATGAATTAGCAAATCAATGAAGCCAAAACATTGTAAGGTTGGACGTCCAGCAAATGGAGAATGACATAGTTCTGCCTCAGTTTCCCCTTTAGCGTTGTAAACCTATAAAAGGAGAGAGAAGCTGCAGCTCAGGGAGCTCGGTGAATGAGGCTGTAGCCCCCTGCAGTTCCCAGCCAAATAAGAAGCCACTTCCTTCCTCAGTTCAGTGTTCGAGAGGTTTGTTCCCTGCCACTCCTGCTTCAGACCTAAGAAATGAAATAGACAGCAAAACAAAACAATAATAGTGGGAGACTTCAATACACCACTGATAGCACCAGACATATCTTAGAGGCAGAAAGTCAACAGACACAATGGACTTAAATGACACACTAGAACAAAGGGACTTCACAAATATTTACAGAAAATTCTGCCAAAGATTTGCAGAATATACACTCTTTTTGTCAGCTCATGGAACATTCTCCAAAATAGACCATATGGTAGGCCACAAAACAAGTCTCAATAAATTTTTTAAAATCAAAATTGTATCCAGTATCTTCTCAGACCACAGTAGAATCAGACTAGAAATCAACTCCAAAAGGAACCCCAAAAACTACACGAATACATAAAAATTAAATAATCTACTCTTATATGATATGTGGGTTAATGATATCAAGTTAAAAATTTTAAAATTCTTTAAGTTGAATGATAATATTGAGACAAGTTATCAAAATCTCTGCGATACAGAAAAAGCACTGCTAAGAGCAAAGTTTACAGTGCTAAATGCCTACATTAAAAAGTCTGAAAGAGCACAAATTGACA